TCTGCTTTTAGGTTATTAAATAGCCTCCCCTTGTATCTTTAAAACTAGACCCAAGTTCCAGCAGAACCTCGACATAAACCCTGCCGGTGCCATCGCTAACTTGTTCGCAGGGATAGCTCTCTAGCTTTCAATACGACTTGATTACCTAACTTTAACGGCCCCAACGGCTGCCTGGATCTAGGCACGCTTATCATCGCTGCCATTCCAAACCTGATGGCACCACTGGGTTTTGAGGGCTGGATTCAACGATATAGCAGCGTAGTAAGCAGGCGATTCATCTTCCTTGTTGAACATACAACAGCCTTGGTTCTTGGGCTGGTGGAAATTGCATTGGTTCCGTTCTGGGGAGCTGATTGCTCAGAAGACAACATGGTGGTGGGTTTTCTATATTATACTTCCATTCTCTATCTTAGGGATTATTGCCACAATTCTAACTTTCCCACGAGAATCAATCCAGAAGAGAAATAAGCAGACCATGAGGCTTGACTAGATAGGGGGGAATCTCTTTATCTTATCGGCGATACTATTCCTCGTCTCCGCCTCTTGGGGTGGCGTCCAGTCTAAATGAAATAGTGCTGGTACTTTAGGCCCGTTATGCTTGGGAGCTTTTGGACTTATTTAGACCTGGTTCTATAAGCAATGCTGGGCTGAGAAACCTGTACTATAGCAATATCTCTTCCCCAGCACCAGTCAAGTTTCAGCCTATATATGTGGTTTACTTGAAGGCATTATGGTACCTATAATTACATGACGCAAGAAACCATGTCCTATCAATCCTAGCTCTACGGCCAACTCTATTACATTCTATTCTACTTTACCTTAGTGAAAGTATACTGGCTCCTAGATACTGGAGTTAATACATAGGAGAAATACCGACCAGTTTTGCGGCTAATGTGCTCTAGGCTGCTCGAGAGAGACATGTAGTCTAGTGCCAAAGTTATAGATGAATATGACAGGGAATGAATGAAACTGATGCACGCATTATCCTATGGCTTTGTGCGCGTTATTGAACGTTCTCCATATAAAAGCAAATAGACTACGCTTAAATATAGCCAAATATATAGATGTATCTCGCTGCTTAACTGGCTTTGGCTATGCTTAAGGGCCATAGATGTCTTTAAATCTTCCAAGGCTGCCTCTAATAGATACTCGATTCTAGGATATATAAAAGAACACGCTAAGCTCACGGAAATCCCCCACATGACTCCATTAAACATCAAGCCAACTTTCTCATCTGGCGCTCGAGTCTTATCTATGAAGAGCTTCTTCGTATCATCCCTGTCTCTAGGCTCTTTAATACTTTTAGGCCCTTGCTGCTAAGTTAAAGGCGGCCTTAGTTAGCTAAAGGGTAGGGTACTATAGGTAGAGTAAGCTTCCCCTAGGCATCAGCAAGCTCGCGCAATCTAACCGTTTTTGGCATTAGCAGACCGATCCTAGTTTTTATTAGCCCTTTTTATAAGCTTATATCTTAACTATGCGGCGGTTTCTCCGCCGATAATGTTCATATACTTGCATAGCTATAGCAGGAAGGAGTAGGCCGGTGCTAGGAAAGTAGGAGAATGTGGGTAGCTCGAGTGATTACAAATGAATGTAAATAACCCCTTCTCTATCCCTATCCTAGAGGTAAATTTATTTCATTTATTCGCACTGCACCAGCCTGCTCTTGCAAGATTTTCCCCTAGGCAGTAATTAGCACAATCTCAAGTTGCCAAGTTTTTATTTCTTTAATGCCTAAAAATGTTCCCGCTTTTCGCCCGACTACTAGCCGAACTTTAACTCAAGATCTAGGATGCAAGCTACCCCTAACCAGGCATATACATATTCGACATCCACTTCCAGCCCAGGTAAGATTTCCTAGGGGCTAATAAGATAATTCCTAGCGAGACGGCAGATAACGTATACACAGAACGGATCTTTCTTAATAGCCTAGCCGTCACACCTATATACTATTAAGGATTCTCTGCAACTTAATTTAAAAGTGACCCCTCTACCTATAGGACAGCAAACACCTTGTCTGCAACTAGCGTTGACTCCGCCGAAGTAGCCAAAGCAAGACTGAACAACAACAAGTTAGGGAATTCCAATATTATGCATCTGGCTAGAAATAGAAAACGTATCTCTTATAATAATAGTGCAGATATTCTATACCTACGGTTCGGTTTAAATTATCCCGCGGTGTAAGGCGCAACCAATAATATTCTCGACTAAGACTCTGGCCTTATTATTCAAAATAACATCTTAAGGATTCTCGAAGTAGAATGGAGTAAGGGCATGGCAGCGTCTCTATTTGCTGCCCGGCGCCTAGCTATCAATATTTGCGAGTTATAGTCGCCGACTGGATTCGATTCTATGTTAATTATATACCTCAGTTATTGTATTTAGAACGATCTTGAGGTACTATACCTGGTTGACTATTGCATTAGGCGATGCCGGCGGTGCTAGAAGGGGAAACTGACATAAAAGGAGTTAGCAATGAAGAAGTATAGCATTGCGAAGGAATTAGACCTAGAAGATCGAGATATAGATATTATTTATAGGTTAACTGTAATATATCGAGAAATTTCAAATCTCGAGAAGCTAGGATAGGATTTTAATCACTCTATGTTCGCGTTCGCGCAAATCCTGAGCGAGACGATTCGGGAATAGCAGGGGACTGAGAGACCGTTTCGCTCAGTTCGGGTTTTAGCCTGTAAGGAAGAAGTCAGTAATGTAGAGGATATGACTATATATGTAATGTGTATTAAAGGATGATAGTAGATTCTTATATAGTAGAATAAAATATAGTTTATTAGTAGGGAAAGAACTATTACTATCTCCTGAGAGGTTATAAAGCTGCAATCCTTACCCCGCCCTACCCTATCCCTGTTATCGCATAGTACGAGCAGGGTACTAATAGCTTTAATTTTTACCCTTTAATAGTAAAATTCCTACATAAATTATGGCCATTTAAATTAATAAATATACCTTTAAATCCTAACTAAAAATAGGTAGTTAATTTCTATAATTTTAAGAGCTTTTATAAGTAATATAAGGAGCCCTATATAGGCACTAAAGAGCTTATAGGGACTAATAAATCTATAGTTTTAGTTTTAGTTATTTTATTATTTAATATTATAATTATTATATTTATTAATTACTTAATATATTAATTTTTGTATTTTTATTTTTGCTTTTTATACTTATATTACTATTTTAAATATAATTTAAATATTAAGTAATAGCCTAATTATATAAAAATGTATTTAAGTATATTATTTTAACTAGGCTTTTATTTTATTATATATAAAAGGTAGCTTATTTTATAAGTTAATAAATAGTACTTATTATAATAAAAAGAAAATAACCTTAATATTAAAGTATAAAAAAGTGTTAAAACTTAACTAATAGATTAAAAGGTTAATTAATATTAGTATAGTATATTAAAACTGCCTTTTATAGTAGTATATAAAAGGTTTATTTTTACTAGAGGTTTTATACTTTTATACATAGTTTAAGGATCTAAGTTATCGTTTAAGTAGGCATATATATTTAATATATATATTACTTTAAAGTTTTAGATTATACTTCATTAAGCAGAGAGCTATAATAATATAAAAGCTGCCTTAATATATAAGATAAAAAGAAACTTGCTAGGGAAATAGCTATCCTTATATAATTAAGTAATATATAAGGTATTATTATTATTGCTTTATATAATATATTTAATAAGTAAGTAAACTAAATAAGTAAGTAAGCTAAAATCCCTTAACTTATAATATTTTTATCTAATTAAATACTTCTTAACTGCTATATATATTATAACCTTTTAATAAAACTAAAATCTTTCTTACCTTTTAAGCCCTTTAAAATAACCTAAAGCTTATAATATAATTAGTTATAAATATATATATAATTAATTATTATACATTAGATTATTATTCATAAAGTATTTAATTATAATACATTACTTATTAATAAATACTAAGCTTATAACTCTATAATAAATACAGCTCTTACTATAATGGCTATTAGGTATAATTCCTATAAGAATTTTAATAAATCTAAGTATCTTATAATAGTTATAAGACAGTGCTACTAGTAGTTCTAATTTACATCTATATCACTCTAATTAAATAAATAGAAGTCTAGTTAAGTCTTCTCTACTCTTGCCTATCTTACATATTGCCCTCAGTTGCCATAGCTTTAGTAATAACATTACAGCCACATAAGCCCAATATGACCCTAGTTGTCGTAAAGTGCCATAATCCACAAAAATAAACCTTCCATTGCCCTGGATATAAGAATACCCTATAGCCTCAGCAAGTAGCGTTAATGTTTGGCCGTTTTGCCAGACAAGTCTGTACCTTGTACCAAACAATTTTGCCCTTTTCAATAGTGGCCAGAGGTGGTTGGTCAAGATTCTCGTTGCCGTAGTATAGCATTATGGCGTCAATAAGTCCACCGATGCATACTATTGCGAAATATTGAACATTATCCTTGTCTTGGAATATCTTTCCTTAGGCATCTATGTGGTAAAAGATGTTGAAACTTGGCAAAAATTTGAGAAATATGTTGCCTGGATGTTTCTGTGACTTCTTATCCATGGATACATAGAATAGCACCTGGCTCCTGCAAGTTAAATAATAGAAGATGTATATCTTTGAGGCAGAGTAGATAATAGCTAGGACAAGAGTGCGGCGATAGGCCTCCTGATTGGCTAGCTTATTATCAAGAAGCTAACAGCTGAGCTTTGACCCGCAGCGGCTGAACCTCCTGCGTTTATTGAGAGATAGCATGAAAAGCGCGCCCTTTCCCAATAGAGGCAACGCTTAAACATCCAATCATAACCTTGAACTCCGTTCTGCCTTTACGGCTCTTTTGTCTACTGCTATCACTACTATTTCCCCACTGCTTCCTTACATTTGTGGCCAGGCAGGGCATAAAACCTGTCTGGCAATTTAGTAGGGCTACCAGGGCCAGAGACCAGGGTTTAGTAAAATAGAAATACAATTTATAACAGGTCATAGAATAGTGCTAGCAGTGCTTATAGAATCTAACTAATAACTGCACCTTTACGCCTTCTCGTTTAGCCCCTTGCTTGCGATATTCTCTGATGAGGCTTTCCGGCGGAGATAAATAAAGTTCTTTAGAAATGCTATGCATAATTAACTTGCCGGATCTTCACACTTAATTACAATGGACTTACTGATATATACTTCCATCTGGTAGCAACCCCAGCTAAACGTAGCACGCATTAGCTCTGCCACGAAATAGGACCTTTCCAGCTTAGTTGAGCTGGCAAGGCCAATAAGATTCCTAAGCAGCACTGTTAGAGGCAAATCAACTGTAGAGAGGCGGATACGTACGCCCACAGGTGAAGGTATGGAAGGCCCGCCCAGGGCCTGAGGTTGATGAACCGAAGGTTGTCATATAGACGATGCATGTCTGCCCAGTTGGAGCTGTCATGAAAACCAGCCTTCCTTTGCATGGTACGATGGACAATACGAGACGCGATGGCGCATGTCTGAGCGACAAGTCCTGGAAGGTCATGGATTAGGAGAACCCCGTCAGCCATATCATCCAGGCTCAAAATCCCGATAACCATGTTGGAGGATCCATTTTCGGCCTCCTGGCCGCAGAAGGATTCAATGTCGTCAGAGGTCCGGCCTAGAATCCGCACAAGCCTTTCGGAAATTTCAGGATCAATGAAGCGGCCGACGAGCGAGAAGTCCTCATCCTCACACCGCAGCAGTGGCGAGCTGACCATGTGGTCGCCGCAGAGCTTGTCGACAGCTTGCCAATGAAAGAGGGGCCGACCGACAGAGCTGAAGGCTAGCTTTGTGTCGAGGCATATGCATTGCAGGAGATCAGCCCTATGGGTAGTAAGCAAGGCCGGAAAAACAAGGGTTGTCGCTCTTACATGACCACGATGGCCTGCATGGGTGGAGGCATCTTCTGTAAGCCGCCGCGACTTTTGATGAAGTGCTCTACTGCGGCTAGATGAGTGACAGTATATGGACTAAAGCGGACCATCTGCAAGGATTCAAGAAGCCACCAGTGTTAGTCAGGGGTGTGACCTCTTGAACAAATATTCATAAACCTTCGGGATAGAGACTCGTACCTCAAACATGCCGAGGATGGCTACCGGATACACAACCTGGTACAACTCGGCATTGGTGGCTGTGTCAAGAAAACATTGCAGCTCACGGACAGCGCTCCACTCGTAGTAAGGATACGAGATATCACTCATGCCGCGGACAGCATCCAAGATCCCGGTTGTCAGCAGCCAGCCGATGTAGATACAGGCAGGCTTGCTCATGTCAGGCCTGAAGAAGTTGGATTGGTAGAACCCCACAAGGACGTACGCCTCATCAAGGTATGAAGAATCTGCAGGTAAGCCGTCAGAATTTAGCCCAAACGGAGGAATCAGCCAGTGCCGCGACTCTTACAAGCGCCACATAGAGACAGGTAGTTCTGAAATACCCTCGCATGAATCCCAGTCGGATGATAGCCTGTCGGGCCAACATCGCGAGGACGGGGTAGGATAGGCACCAGTTTTCGGGCTGGTCTCGGAGCTGAGTTTAGAGACCCTAAGACATCTTCTGCGCCTGCCGCTTTAGTTCTAATCATGGGTCAGGCAGCGAACGAATCATTAAGGAATAGAACAAGTATGTACTCGGTACGGCCCGAAGTTGTTTCCGCCGCTGTAGCCTTTCCTGCAGACCCTATTAGCCATGCCTCATATAGTTAGAGAATACTCACTCTGATTCGCGGCCAGCTTCTTGGCCCGAAATGAAACCATAGCCCGAGACCGGACAACAAATTTCTGCTCCCTGCTTAATCTGGGCCCCTCATAGGTAACAAATACATTCGATTGTGGAGGCATCCTGTAGACGATAAAAGGAAGTGCTGAGTGTTTGAGGTTGAAGAAAGGGGAACAGCTGGTGATTAAATCATTGGACGATTCAGCATATCCCCTTTTAGGAAACGCCTGGCTGAGTGTGAAAGAGCGGTGGCACCTCAAGCCGCTTTGTGTACAACCAATCACTGTCCTTGTCGCTTTTGAGCATTTGCCTGAAGTAGTCAAGCGCTGATAAAGATGTATCCCTCATCTAATCAGCCGTGCTAGCCCCGGCAGCTGAGGTGGCAGTTACATAATGGCTTTGACGGAGCAATAAGTACGGAAGTCGGGCGCTAAGCTGAAAAGGCCTAGTTAAGATGTCATTCCCGCCATCAGGGACTCCCTGCCTTACATTACTGTTAAATTAAGCATACATAGCAGCTCAGCAGAGAGTGACCCACGGAATAACATGCGCCGCTGCTTCGAGAATATTCCCAATGATGTTGAGTATGTCTGACGGCATACGACGGTGCGTGGCTCAGCCACCAAGCGCTTTGTCGAGGAGGCAAGCGAGTTGGAGCTTCCTGTTCCTGACTAGAGTAGGGCTACGGTAAATGCCTGATATCAAACGCAAAAAATACCTTGCGCGATTACTACCTTTGTCCAAACGTGATGACAGCCCATGATAGTCCGAGCAGTGTCTCCACTGCAGGTACCCTGCAGCTTCAGGATTAACCCTCACGTCCGTTGCATTGGACCTCTCAGAGGTCTGCTTGCGAGCCAGTTCATCCTAGTCCGCTTGGTCCAATGGCCCTTTGCTTTCTGTAGGTGAGCTACGGTTGGAAATAAAGCACGGGGGGTTAAGAGTAAGAAATTTGCGAGTGATGCCAATATATAAAAGGGACGGCTGGATCCAGCTCTCTACCTCTTTTTTTCTTTTCTCATCATCACTCATCACTCAGTTCTTCTTCACTCTTTCAATCTTCAAGCACTCGCCTTCTGAAGCTCCATCCACACCCACAACCGCCAAAATGCAGCTCTTGAACATCGTCCTCGCCCTCGTGCCCCTCGTTGCCGTCTCTGAGGCTGCTTGCCACCAGAGTGGCGAGTCTTGGGGTTCCATGAAAGACTCTGTGCTGTATCAACTGCGAGACGCGTGCAGGGCGAGCGTATTGAGTGGCAGTTATGGTCAAGGCCAGAAAAAGACGCACTGCATCTTCGTCCCTGGCTCGGGCAAGCACGCCGACCTTGAGGTCAAGCGTCTTACAGGCGGCTCCACCTCCCTGTCCGAGTATGATTGCTACTACTACCTGAACCGTGAGATCACTGGTTGCGATAAGGGTGGCCGACGCGCTTACGACAACTGGGAGTTCAGGTATGTTGCCAGCTTATTGACTGTTATTGCGATGTCTAACCAGCTACTAGCGCGGACCCCAATGCTGGCGCTTGCTAAATGCCTCCCGTCCCCGGAGGCCTATCGTGCACGAATGTCCCGTGTTCAAAAAACAGTTGCTGTCTTATTGGTGGAGGAACAGGGTGTAACTGGATGTGTCTGCTTTCCTTGCGCAACTTAACCCCCTATGTCTCTGGCCCATTGATCCCACCACTATCACATCGTCCTACAACATCACTCTACCCTTCATTTTATAAGCCTACGTGCTTCTTTTGATAACTATAAGGAATAATATAGACCTTTATTTGTTACTCCCAATTAGAGTTATACCTCGTGAGCCGTTCGTAACTCTCTGGGAAGACTGGGCTGCCGGATATAAACTCGATATCACGGCAAAGCAGCTGGTACCATTTCTCCATCCTGGTCCTTAAAAGATGGTTCTTCAAATTCAATAACTGAAAGATGAAAGTCGAATTATGGCTATAAGTCTGCCTCGCCACGGCGAAATTGAGCGTTACGATGGGCAGTTACCCGTCGTTGGCCAGACACCGATACAATCCGGTTGTTGTCCTGAGGTGGCATATCATGATGAGAAATATCCTCAAGTTACTATCCACTGTTTAGAATTAATTATTAAACCTGACCTTTAAAGCAGGAATCAACATTGCTTTCATGTATTGGTACCACATGGCATATCCCTACCTGATTGTTAACTCGAAATGAGCATAGATGGCCGCCTGATTTGAGTTAAAATCCTGGAGTGGTCGGTGGCGCCCATGCGTCTGAAGGTCCGCTGGATGATCCTGCTACCAGCAGAAATGGAGACGTAATTAGTGGTTTGGGCGAAAGGTCCAGCCGGTTTATGGTCATGGGGCCTTATATCAAGTACTTCTAACCTCTGAACAATTCGTCCCTCGCGCCCGAGTCTGCAAAAAAGGACACATGCCGCGACATGATCAGGTTGTAGTATTTTTCCTAAGACTCGAAATTGAGTAACTTATTGGCAGTCAACTAAAGGTTCTTGGCTTAGGCGCTCGCATTTGGCTGCCAATTGGCCCTTGTCATGATGTGTGGAAAAGCATGTCTCGGCACGTACATGCCACCGCCCTTAGAAAGGAGATTGATGCTCCGCAACGGACCCTGTTCGACAGGCCTGGCCCTCCCCAAGGACCGGTTGGGAGCCTGCTATGTCGACGAGGCTTCTCGTGATGGAGTTTGCCCTGAGCAGAAGCAATCGGCAACGGCCCTGTAATTGGCGAAGCTCGTGCTACCGTGGTTGGCCTCGCGGCGGATGATCCCGCAATAAAGGAGTGCTTGTGTTGGAAGTGGGCCGTGCTAATAAAGAGAAAGAATGAACGAAGTTGCTTGAGGATGAAGAATCGGAGAGAATCATGATGGGGTAGCTTTAAAGCTGGAACTACCATCGCCATGAAAGACCCCGCGATCCACAGTCGTTCCTGCGTCGACTTCGACATCTAACATAGGGGCTAGGTGAAGGAGTATAATGCCTTGTATTAAAATAATACTATCAACTGTAGTACTATATTCATCAGAGTAGAGCAGGAAATTTTCATTTATATTAGTTACTCAAGGACGAATACGGAAGGCCTTTCAGAATCAAGGCAGAAATGTTAATCTGGTATTTCAATCACTCCTCGACTGGCGTAGGCCTTAGTCTTCTCTAGAACAAGAGCTCAAGTTCGATCAATGCAGTCAGTTATCAATAAAAGTTATATAAAAAAAATAAAAAAAAACTATGCGCTAACAGCTTGCGTTGAAGCTCTACAACCCCCTCGGCTGGGCGTATTCCAAGAGTACTTGATCGTTCATCAACCTCCTCTGACAACTCTCCTCCAAGCAAACACACACTTCGACGCCTTCGTCGTCTGTCGCATCATTCGCCTCCGCTCGGCTGGGATACAGTAAAACAAAACCTTCAAAAGCTGGACTCGGCCACCTGAGCGCTTTGGGCAGTCCAAAGCCGAAATCATGCGTCTCATACGCTGTCATGCCTTGCCAGCTGGACGCCCCAAAATCCATACCCAGAAACGAATTGATGCTGATCTCAAGCCACCGCTTGTCCTCGTGTCCGGCAACCCACTCAAGGAGGCTCGTGAGGTACTCTGGAGTCATGGCTTTAATTGATGCTCGCACCTCGGTCGCGAGCTTGGACAGATTCCCTGTGATGATGTCGTTGACAGTCAACGGCTCGCAGCGTGCCGCAGCAGCGCCGACGCCCAAGAAACGCTCAGGCAGGGGCGGGTTCCATACTTTTCTCGTATCGACGGCGTGGACCAGAGTAGCCTTGGACTCCAAGTCGGGGTTGAGCATCTCCAGCTTCGAGCGCGTCACACTGCTCCAGAGTACAGCAATAATCGCATCATAGGTGGAGATCCAGTTGTTAACACCTTCGCTAGATGCTTTGTTCTTGAGCAAATCAATCTTGCTTTTGGGAAAGTGCCACATCTGTGCCATCAAGGATGGCATTTTGAAGTCGGCTGGTGGTGGTGCCATTGGGCCACCCGCATCCCGTACTACAGCAAGAGTTTTTTCGAGTTCCTCCATCCGAACACGTGTTGGGCATTCGACATCCAATGGAGTTCCGTGTACGCTGAAATGCTGCTTTGCAGGGATGAATGGAGCTCCCTTTGCCGCAGCAGAACTGTTCTCTGCCCAGGTGGTTAGGAACCCATCACATCCTGGACCGTCGGATACAGAGTGATGGATTGCCAAGCCAATGATAAGGCCACCTCGAATGAAGTTAAGTTGGAAGGCTGCAACAGCACTTCCTTCTTCATTGTTGTCGCCAAGAGGAGAGTGAAGCTGTTTTGCTGTGACAAAATCCGGAAGAAGTTGACTACCTGTTAGAGAGCTCGCAGGAAACTGTTTTACATTTAGTATCATAGTCCATTGTGGTAGGGCTAGTGAACACAGCAGTGTCATACCTCTTTTTCCGCCAGCTCTTTATAGCTCGGAAACTCGCCTTCACGCAGCATGTACTTGACGTGTAGGCTGACCGTCGAATCCCGTTGCCTAGCCACCCACATCCGCCCAGTAGCAGTGTCCATTTCTAAGACACCAGCAAGGATGGGGAACTGTGACATAGCAAACTCTAAGCCGGCGGTCATGTTTTGAACAGTTACATCATTGTCTGTAAGGTCGGGCAGGGCAAACACTTCGGCGACCAGTACGTAGACCTTGGGCATGATGTGGCCCATGAGAGAAAGAGGATACCGCTCAGACTCCGGGCCCGATTTCCATCCTGTTGGATGAATACGGAGCTCAATTGGTAGACTGGCAGGAGAAGACATTATGAAATTTATGGAAGACTTGCGGATGACGTTGGAACTTTTACTGCAAAGAGGCGATGAAAGTTCACCAATACTGACAATGAGAGAGACAAATTCGTATAAACATGCATACATATATATGTACTTGAGCCGGCGGATGAGACTCCGGCGCGAGTCCGAAAGGAGCGGACCCTTGCTCCTCCCAAGCAGGGGTGCGCCCGGAAGAATATCTGACCGGTCTACAAAAGTGTAAACTATGTTAACTAAAATCTGAGTCAGACGATGACTGTTGATATACCCATCGCGGCGGAACGCGGCGGAAGGACGACGTTGACTCCTTCACACCTTTACACAGACTACACTACACACGGAGCTCTTCTGCTCGTCCCTGAGGTTTGTTCCTTGTCGCCTCAAATCAATGGATCAAGGAGGCGCACGTGCTATCCAGCCGGTTGGGTTGCTTACCCCTCGGCGACTCTTGCGCAAGGGCACTCATAGCTGCGTAGAATGTGCGAGCCTGACAACCGAGAATTCGGTTATCCCGCCTTTTTCTTTGTATGGCATTAATCATTCTTTTCAGGCAAGAGACGAAAAGCACGATGCTTCTTCGACCATCCCTCCGCTACCACCTGCGTAGGATGTCAACGTCGAGGCTCTCATTGCGTTAGCCAGGAGTTCGTTGACATCGCTGTGCCTAAACCTGAGGAAGATCCGAGAACCTTGGAGAGTCTAGAGAGGATAGAGCAGATGCTTCAGAGGCTCACTGTCAAGGTTCTCACGGATAGTCCCGGGACACAGCATGACGCGTCACAGAGCCAGTTCTTTGATCCCCAGCCATCGGCGGAATGCCCGATTGCTAGAGACGACTGGCAGGACGCTAGTGTCAATGTGCGCCGTGTCCCTGTCCCTGGGGTAGTCACTGACACCGCACTGGTGAGTGGCCATCTGCTGCAAAGGCAATCATCTCCCCAATAGTCTGATGTGAGTCCCAGGTAACATCGGACAACACTATCGCGGCACCAGTTGTCCCAATTCAATCAGGCTTGGGCAGTCCTGTAGAAGACGCGACTAAATCAAGTGATTTTATCCTGCCCGAATTTGCGGATACGTGTCGAACTCTCCACGCTGCTTTGCCGTCTCAACAAGATGCCGATATCCTCTTTGAGGCTGGCAGAGCCGCCATCTATCTGCAATTACTCTGTAATCCTTACAGCCAGTTGTTTGATCAAGGGGATTGGCTACCACCTAGCATTCTATCTATCCTCCCTCCAATCACCTCCCACCCGGTACTTCTTGCACGAAAATTCTTGCAACTCTGTCTTTGCATACAGCAACTGGATCCTTCGTTCAACCAAGATTCTCTTCACCTGGGAGTTGGTGCTAACGAAGCCATGCGGAGGTATTACTATTTGGCGTCGAGCATGGTGACTTGCCATGACCAGCTTCTGGATTCTCTAGAAGGGCTCGAGTGTCTCATATTTGAAGGGGCCTATCTCATCAACTGCGGGAACCTCCGTCGGGCGCTAATATCCCTCCGACGTGCCTCAACTCTGGCTCAGTTCATGGGACTGCATCGCAAAGCCCGCCATGGCGCACTGAAGCAACATGATCCAGCGACTCGTGTCTCAGGCGACGTGGCCTGGGCACATATCGCGTACCTGGAGCGCTACTTATCTCTTCTTCTCGACATGTCGACTTCCATCACAAATGCTAAATTCTCATCCGAGGAGAAGACGGCCGGCCAAACCGATGCAGAATGGCTGGAAAATG